TGACATGTTTGACCACACATGTTTGTTTATATCCCTAGGTAATAAAACTACGGTCTAATGTCTTTGTCTAGTGCCAAGTGATCAGTGTGCTAGTGGCTCTGATTGATTATCCTAATGAACTGAGCCACTTACAGGTCAATGAAATGCTTTGTTAGGCTGGGAGTCTTCTGAGTACTGCCAAAACCAAATCAGCCCATTAAACATATGTATTTGTATTACTGTTAGTAATTATAAAACATTGTTTCCACAAAAGCAGCTAAATTCTTCATGCCACACCAGGTCTTAGGATGTAAACTCTTCCTCTTTTCAGCAGTGGCATTTATCTTTCTCTTGATGTTGGCCCCAGTGTATAATGAAATGATTTTCCCTATATGATAAACAAACCCTTAACCCTTTATTTTTTTGTAAATAAATAAAATCCTGTTTTTATTATAGCTTTCAAAAAAAAACTAAAAGTGATTACGAGACTTAGTTTGCTGCATTAACTGTATGTACTCTCACATTATTTACATAGTAGTTCATTGAAATATGTTTTTATTACATGGTAGGGTTATTGAAATATGTTTATTATAATTATCAAATCAAACTAACAGCTGAAACGGATCCCGACAATTATGTCTGGATACACCCAGCTGCGTGAGTGACAGCTGGCTGTGCCTATCTAGAGGCAGAGTCAGCTGTACCCGCTCCCTCCCCCATCCGTTCCGCCAGACAGCGCTGGAGGATCGGACAGGGGAGGGGGGAATCCAGTCACGGCTCTCTGCAGTGACAGGAGCGAGAAGTGAGCGAACGCCATTATGTGTTCACTCACTTCCCTATCTACTGAGCCGACCTGTGACAGTTTCATTGTCACAGGTCGGCTAGAACTATGAGGATGAGTGAAAATCACTCTTCCTCATAGTTCTCCTTTAAAGTCTTTGTATCGGTATGGGAGCCCTAGATTAGTATTTTTAAAGTAGCGGGTCAGCAATGGTAGCCTCTATATTTTGCAACAGAGGTTTCCGATTATAGAACCCGTCAAGATAGAAATCTAGAAACTGCAATTGCTGATGTGTTTGAAGTGCATGCTCCTGGGCTTACATCCCTGTCCTTTCTTCACTACCTCTTGAGTCACTGATCAGGAACAAAATATGTACATATCAGGTGCCCCAACACTGCATATCTGGGAAGATTTCTTCTCCCATTTTGCCCCTATTATCCTTGAGACATTGTAAGAAATAATATTTTAGGTCTGTAAATTTAGCATGGAATAAGAATATTTTAAAACAATATATTAAGTAATTATTAAAAGATAGCACATACAAATTACAGAGCTGACGACCTAGCTAGTAACAGTGATTTTGTTTTTCCAAAGAATTTGTGTTTGAGATCTGTCTTGTACTAATGTTGATGTATGTTTGACATCTCTTGTTGCATTGTTCCATAGGCCCCTCAATATATTCTCTCTACTAAGGGTTCTTCCCATGCACCAAGGGCAGTTTGTTGCCACTGTTTTTATTGGGGTTCTTGTCTCCAATAGAGATGCGCAAAATGTTACGTTTTTTTTATATCGCTGAAATTATGGTGACATTTGGGAGTTCTCAGAAAAATGCATTGGAGTCAATAAGGAAGGCAAATTTATGGTGTGTTTTTTTTGTTTTTTTGTTTTTTTAATATAGTGCAATGTACTACTAATGGCTCCTGAGGGTTATAAAAGCTCCTTTCAACTTTTAAGGACCTGTGCTTGTGTCAAAAATAGCCCTTTATTGGCCTCCCTTATTATAGGAGTTTTTCACAGAAAATACAGTGGAAAAAGTAATTAAAATAACAGACAATTACATAAAGACAATAACACAAATGCAATGAACACTAAATGAAATAAACTACTCTATATACACCCCTCCCCTCCTACCAAAAAAACACACATCCTCTAAATAAAGGAAGAGGTAGGTTTTTGTTCAATCAAATTTCACCTTAGAAGGCCAATAAGTGAAACTGATAGTTTGCCCGGCTCATACCCAGTCTCCTATCTAGTTAAAACAGGTGTAGATCATTCCTTGACCGTTATACCCTTAGTGAAACTATTGGGATGAGCTGTTTCAGATGAGCGAGATGCCCAATCATTACAACAAAGGACATTTCTCTTTGCTACCATGGAGTAATTGTCAAGGAATAGGTTGCACATGTTTTAATAAATTTTTTTACGTACATTGTTATTTGAAGTTAGTTTAACAAACGCATTACTGTGGGTGTGCATGAAGTTCCTATAATGTATTAAGTTGTATGTAAAACTTATAGTACTGGCATCTCCGTATATTTTATTAACATTACACATCAATAGTGCTAAATAGTCTGATGGCTCAGAAAGTATTGCTAATTGTCGTCTTTATTCTACTTTTTCCCTCTTTCTTGTTGATTTATAGTGACTTGAGAGTCCTTTTATGTGTTTTACATGCTGGCCTTGCAAAAAGCTTATGTTGGCATCTTACCCTGAAGGCACATTTGAGGCCCATATACCTTTTGTTTCAGTGCAGGCTGGAGATTCCCATACCAGTTAGCAATGCTGACTAACAAGATCTCCGAATAAGCACTCTCTTGTAGCTCCTAATAGCCTTGACTTGGCCTTCTTCTTTTTCTTTATCTAATGCTCGTCCTGCACAGATTTGGAGCAGGTCAAGCATTAGAGGCAACACTTTCATTGTTTCTTTATTTGCTTAGTCTGTTTTACTTTTCTGCTGACATGTCTGTTATAGGGAAGGCCCAGAAAGCATCAATTTTCCTTTGCTCCCCTGGTTAGAGTGAGGGTAGCAGAGTCAGTATTTTCAAACAAATTTGTTTTGTTCTATGTGCTTGAACTTTATGCATTCTCTCAATGTGTGTCAATAAAACATTGTGCAGTTTTGCCTTCAAGGAAAGGAAAACCACAATACCTATCTTTTACTGTACCTAATAGATTTGTGTCATAATCCCTGTCATAGGGTCGTGGTTATAAAACTGCTACTTCTGTGAAATGCTAGGAAAAAAGTAGATAGTGTATATGATGGAGTGCAGACATTGGCATTTGATATATCTATATTTATATCGGGACAAAACCCAGGTACAAAGAGTGTGATGGTTACTCCAAATGGTACAGTTCCAAAAGATGCACGTGGAAAATCTGTAATACAGAGCAGTATGCAACTTTACTTAAATTAGCTTTTGGGCCCCCTTTTAGAATGTCCCCAGTGTGGAGACCCAAAAACCCAAGCAGAGTGGTCTCGTCAATAGAATCTAGAAGAGAGATGAGAAGCTGTCAGGTGGTTTAACCCTCTCCCTGCCAACAACGTAAGGCATAGGGCAGAACACAACCATTTCCAGCTGCCCACATCAGTATGCCTCTTGTCGATGGCTTTCACCCATCTGCTATAAGCTCATGGTCGCTTCAGCAACCATGAACTTGTAACAAAAGGGTCCCCCTGACGATGCCCTGTAAGTTAATAGCTGACATCGGTGGCTAACTAATTAAAAATCCGCCCCCCCCACCCGTCGCTGCCACCCGCCCCACCGCAAGTTCTGGGGCTCTGCAACGCTCCGATCTGTGTGTCCTCCGATCCCCGCTGATCACCCCCGCTCTCCTCAGTCTAGGGGGGTGATCAGTGCTGATCACTCCAGTGTTTGTATGAACTGACCACATAGTGAGCTTATTATAAATGAAATTATTTATGAATGAACATGTACATCAATGCTGTACATCACTTCCAGTTTAATCATAAGTGGGGACATAGTAAGCTCACTATGTGCTCAGTTTATGAATGGAGAGGAGCACTCAGTACAGAGGCTTCCTGTCCATTCATAACTGGGGAGAGTACTATGCCTCCTCAGTTTGTGAATGCACAGGAAGCCTCTGCACTGAGTACTTCATGTTTATTTAGTGCTGTGGCTGCAGAAAAAGAAATTGAGTACTCTGTGTTCTCAATCTATTTTGTTCTATTTCAAAAGGGAAATGTCAGGGGTCTGTTTAGACCCCTGATATTTCCCTGAAGCCCCCCGGCAGTATATATATGTATGTATGTATGTATATGTGTGTGTGTATATATATATATATATGTATGTATGTATGTATGTATGTATGTATATATATATATTTTAAAAAGAAATACAACAAACCACAACCCCTCCCACATACACATACAGTGTGCACCATATTGTCGTGTTATTGTGGTGTATGTTATGCACATGGCCTGTGGTGCATTGTGAGAACACATAGCAGTGCTTGATTTATTTATTAATTAAAATAAAGCTTGAAAAACTGACAGGCACACCCGATCAGACCGCCTGTGTGAAAGGAGCCTAACAAGAGACAACTATAACGTACAAGAAGGGATGGGCCTGTACTAGGGATTCAAATTGTCAAATTTGCTAGCATATTCTGAAGCAAATTACAAGTTTAATAAAACAATCATTCATGGAAATAAAAAAACAGGTAGCAAGTTAAGATTTTAGTTTTTTTTGTGCTTTTTACCTGTTGGTGATGAGTATATTTCTGCAGCTCTGATGCATATATTCTGTATATTAGGTTTTTTTTTCTAATGCACGTTGCATTTTTAACATTTGATCTCTGCAACAGGTCAGAAGCAAACAGGATGTTTAAAGTGGAGTTTGGTAAAAGATAGTAAAAATATTTCCTGCAGTCTTGCTTTTCCCTTTTTTAAATGCCTCTCTAATTTCATTGGGTATGATAGTGCCATTCTTCTATGCGTTACAGGTCAGTTGCTTGCGTCACATGGAAGGCCATTTACAATACCTTGTCTGTTTAAAACTGCTAAATAAACTAATTAAATTTTGGGCTGCTCTCTTAGTGCAGACACGGCAGCATATTAAGATAAACCTGTATGAAACGTTTGCTACGTGCCACATACTGAGCTTTTTTACCCTAGTCATGTGTCTTTGAAGGACGTGTTGTAGAAATGAAGGACGTTCTCTTGCACAACCAATCTTGTCATCCTACTAAGAAATGCTTGTGGTTGTTTTGCCCTTCGCAGAATGTGAATAATATCGCTACTCAGAAGAATGAAGCAAATGAGATAAAGAACGCATGTGAAAGTAGAGTAAAAAGTTTATTGCGAGAAAATGAAGAACTGAGACAAAGGATACAGCAGCTGGAGGCCAAAATAACTGAGCTTCATCAGAAAATCAATGAGCTGAATGAAGATAATGATAGAACAAAAGAGAGACTGCGGAGAACTGAGGTCAGGAAAATGACTATATAAAAAGCAGATATGGTTTACTGAGACTCGGAGGGTTAGATATGATAATAAACATATGATTAGGCTGTATTTAGTGGGAACAGTGTAAGTGGAAACTAACCCTTTACATGTTATTGTATAGAGCAGTGCAATCCAAATCGGTTCTTGGGGGCCATGATCCTACCTGACTTTTTAAGATTTCCATTATTAACAGACAGTAAGAAAGGCTGTTAAGAGGCAGATATCTGCTTGGAAAAGGGACATTTCTGTGTGCGATAATCAGTGCCTCAGACATTGGAAGTACTCATTATCACCCCTAGGATTGCACTAAATGGCCTTGTGCCTGCCCAAGCATCACGCTGGGCTATCGGAGTAGGTGATCTCTGGCCACCATGTTTTTGTTTTAAGTTCTAAGAATTAGATCAGGTCACTATTAAGCAATGGAAAAATTACATGGAAGTGGTTAGTGGGTTTTGGCATTTGGCTGATAAATGTTGGGAAACTGAAGCATACCTGTCATGAGACTGTATGGTTAGATATGTGGAAGGCTGGCAACACAGTATAGTCAGTTGCGCCTGAAAAGACTTTGCTATGGAAGGGTGATGTTTAAAAATAAGAGAGTGGCACAAATGCAATTGTTGGGGGCCCTTTCACCTTTATGATCCTGGTAGGTTTTGCCTCTTGGGAAATGTTGAATGTTTTGGTTGGGATGGCGAGGGATCCTTTTATACTTCTGCCATTGCAGACTTTATAACCATGTTTATCATACTCAAATTCTAGAAAGAAAAGCAGCAGCTGAGTGAATTGCTAGAAGATGCAAAGGAACAAGAAAAAGAAGCACTACAGTTTTCTAGAGGGTTAGAAAACCAACTTGAAGACACAAAGGTAAGCTGGTCATCTCAGATCAGGAATTGAAGCTTATTTGATAGGAAGCCACCTATAATAAGGTTATCATCTCTGAAGCTTTTGGTAAAAATGCAGAGTATGTGTTTTTATAGACCAGCATAGCCAGGCAGTAGTTGAGGAGTTTTTCATGTGATTCTCGGGTACCTTTTTGATGTTGCTCACTCGTCGACAGGTGCTTATTAACCCTCTGTCTAGACACGTGCACACTTCTAATAAGCACAGAGCCATTTGGTTATATAGGTTATAAATGGCTTAATGTTATTGTTAGTCTACTGAGCAATCTTTTTATACTTGGTGTAAAACATTAATACTAGAGGTGCACCTAAATGAAAATGTCAAAAACAAAACCGAAATAATAAGTCAGGCCGAAACCGAAAATGTTTTTATTTTAACTTTTCAAAATTTTTGAATATTTTATTTTTATTTATTTTGTATAAACTTTTTAATTTTTTACTTTACTTTTAGGGGCTTCGGGGAAATATTAGGGGTCTAAACAGACCCGTGATATTTACCTTTTTAGAATAGAAAAAGAGATTGAGGACACAGTCCTCAATCTCTTTTTCTGTATCCCCTGTTATAAATGAACAGGAATCCTCTGAGTGTTCCTGTTCATTCATAACATGAGCACATAGTGTGTTTACTATAACCACAACCGTGAATGAACAGGAAGTGATATAGATCACTTCCCATTCATTCATAATTGAGGCTATAGTAAACAAACCATGTCCTCAATTATTTACAACACTCAATCACTGATCGCTGAGTGTTTGTACCTCGCTCTCCATCCTGACACAAGAGGCTGGGCAAGCGGCGCTTAGCCTGCTGTGGCAGCGCTGGCTGTGTCCGCTCTCCTCTGATCTGTGACAGGAGGCTGAGCGTTATTGGGAGCAGTGACGTGGGCCGTTCACAGCTCTCTCCTCCCGCAGCGCTTGGCCGCCTGTGACTGTTTTCGGCATTATGCCAAAAGTGCCATTTTCGGCCGATATGTTTCGGCGGCCGATATATCGGTGCATCCCTAATTAATACTACAATTTACAGCGCAGAATTTATACTTCTTGCCCCCACATCCGCTGTCTTGTATTGCATCCCCTTGTGCACCAGTTGAAATCTTAGCCTTAGAAACACACTAAGGAGATCGAGCATCATAGGCACCAAATGCTCACTGTGTCAGTACACCTAGAACCGGTGTCTAGGAGACCTGGGCAACTCTCACTTTGCCCTGATTACAGTATGACTCCAGATGTATGGATCAAGTGGACAGCCTATAATTCCACAGGTCACTATTCCACCAACAAACTGCATGGAGACCGTAACAATAGGAGCCAAACAGACTGCACTGACCAACAGTGCACTAATCTACAACCTATTATACACAAGAGGGTGTTACTTGGTGTTGAATTCTAGACAAATATAAAAACACAAGTAAAGGCAGTTATAGAATTGAGTGTCAGTTTTTATATATAACTAGCATTAGTTCCTAAATCTGTCTTGAAATCAATTTTCTGTTGTCTCTTGTAAATCAGCACTGGTAGAGAGAAGAGCAATACTAGAGCTAACCAGGCTCTGTTGCGTGTAGTAGCAGGGAACATGCTGACAGAAGGAGGGAGCAGAGTTAATGACTTGACGTTGTGTTGCGGCACCTTCGTTTTCAATCACATGGCTGCATGCAGGGAGACGGCACCACTGTATTAGTTAACTTAATATACAAAGTGGTGTCACCTCTCTGGCTGGGAAGTTTGGCAGATGCATATCAATTACAAAGGTGACTGGACAGGAGTACAATTCGGTTTGGCAGCAAAGACAGTTCTCATACAGAATGTTAATTTCAGCTGTGTTTTAATTGTTTGTCTCCAGATCAAGTTGTTTGTTTGAAGTTTAGTTTCATTTCAAATAGCCTGAATAAGGGGCCACTCCAACCTAAAACTCTCTCCTATTTTATCCTTGCATTCTAGTATATTGATGATAATATGTTTGTGTTTCAGAGAAACCTCAGTAGAATCACTCATGAGCATCACCAGTTGAATGAGCGATTGAAAGAGGAATCTAATCAGAAGGAACAGTTAAGGAACTTGAAGAATGAAATGGAAAATGAACGCTGGCAACTGGACAAGACCATTGAGAAATTGCATAAAGAGGTACGTGTGTGTCCTTAGAGCTTTATGTCTATGAACCAAATGCATACATAGCACATCCTATTTGGCTTAGTGTGTACTAAAAGGAAAGGTGTGATAAACATTGTACAGTTTGGGGTAAATTCAGGCTTTTTCATACTAGCCTTTTGCTGCTAAAGAGAATCAAATGTAAGCAGTTGTCCCTTTTTTTTTTTCCATTACTTAGAGATCAGTCTATAGACCAACAAAAAGCATTATTTTGTGGAAATAGTACAGTAAGTAGGGAAATAGTAGGTTATGTTGAGCCAAATCAATTTTAGTATGAATTTGATGTCTGTTCATTAATTTGTATGTGTGTGGACATAGAGGAACTGCATGACTGTTATTGTAAATTTTGGAATGTGTATGAAAAGCTATGAAGCCAGTGTCATCTCTCTTTATGATACTTTTATAGTAATGTGTTACTGGTTAACTTCATAGAAAAGATCTTTAAAACTAATGAGTATCCTGTATAGTAGTTGTGTGACTGCCTTACCAATGAGGAGAATCCGTCCAAGCATTCGGATTTAGTGATGTGGTTGTTTTCAATGGTTTGGGTTCATTCTAATCTAGGTGTATATTTGTCATTATTATAATAATCTTAGAAGAATTAATGATTTAGAATCAGATTACATTTCTAGAGATGTATTCGTCAGTCATACAGTTCATAAAGCTTAGTGTTCACTGCTGGTGGATCTACCTGCACTGCGGGAACTGCATATGACCTACTGTGTGCAGACTACTGAGAAAATAGTGTATCAGCCTTCTTTGGAAGCCAAACTTTTTGTGAATAACCAGAAAGTCCTTTTGTGTTGTCACCTTTCATTAAATAGCATGCAAAATTGACATGACAGCATGTGACTGTGGATTGAAGAATGACCCACATATTTTCAGCCTTGATCCTCATTTGAGAATGCTAGTTTTCCTATGGATGCATAATCTTTGTGTAAAAGGATCCTTTGTCAAAATGTAAAGGTTATCTAAACTCAGCAACAAAAATTGTAATTTGTTGCAGCTTACCAGTCCTTCGATGTGGTGGCTGCAAAAGTTTTACGTTTTCATGCTAAGAACATTTTCAGCAGGCACCGAAAATACCTGTTGATCTTGCCAGAAATGCTGTGTCCTCGTCTCTTTCTGTCCGCTGTTCTGGAAGACTAAAACCATGTTATCTTATTTGTGGGAACTACTAATATCATCCCCATGTAATAGAGGTGAACAAAGACAGACATGTTTGAAGTTCAGCAGAGTGGCAACTATGGCTCCTTCCATAGATACAGAGGTGTGAGTGAGTGTAGCCACCCTAGGAAGAGGAAATTCTCATTCTTGAATAAAAGGACTGATAAGCTGCAATATTACAGGCAGTCCCCGGGTTACATACGAGATAGGGACTGTAGGTTTGTACTTAAGTTGCATTTGTATGCAAGTCGGAACAGGTAAATTTTTTTAAGTGTAACTCCAGCCAAAAAAACATTTTTTAGTTTTGGATAGCATAGGGAAGGGTCACGTTTGTTTTGCTGTCTGTTCCTGTTGTTCAGAAGATTATAATATAATATTTTTTTATTTAAAATGATTTTTCCATTTTAAATTTTATTTTATAAACTTTGTTTTTTTTTATTTGTTTGCATTTTAAATTTTTATTTACATAGTTACATAGTATTTGAGGTTGAATAAAGACATTAGTAACTTTATTTAACTTTTTTACTTTGTTTTTGTCTTTTTTTTTTACTTTTTTTAAACTTTTTTTTATTTGTTTGCATTTTAATGCTTGGAGCAATAGCCAGCCTGCTATTGGATATTTCAAATTGCAATAGCCAATAGCTATTGCATCTGCCTGCGGTCAATCAGCAGAGGAGGGGCCTGAAAGAGAAAGTTCTCTATCAGGTCCTCCCATGCTGACTGACAGCAGGCAGTGGGTTGGTGCAATAGCCAGCTTGCTATTGCATTTTACAATATCCAATAGCAGGCTGGGTATGGCTCCCAGCCTGCAGATGAAGAGGAGGCAGGGGGGCGGGGCAGAGGAGCCGCGGCTGGACGGGGGATCGGAGGATCGTCCGGAACGGGGAATATAAGCCGACGGACAGGGGGAAGAGGAGGCCGGGACAGCAGCGGAGGTCCCCGCTGCCTCCGCCAACACAGGTGGGGATAGCAGCGCGGATTTGAAGGGACACAGACCGCTGCAGCCACAGTTCTCCTAAATGTACCGGCGGCTGCCGGTACATTTAGGAGAACTGTGGACCCCGGTTCGTAAGTACGGATTGTTCGTAAGTTGGACGTCCGTAACCCGGGCACTGCCTGTACATTTTTATTTTAGGTTTGGATAATCTTTAAAGTGACACTAAACTCAGGACTTTAAAAATACATTCAAGTGCCTTAACTATTAACAAAAATGTACCCTATCTGTGCATCATTTAGCTGTAGATCCTCAAATCATCTCGGAATTGGTGCCGACACTGTCCTTCCCCCTGGAGGGTGGCTACTTTTGTTCCCCATGGTCGCTGTGTGTGTTGTAAAGTAGCCCCTGCTACAAGCTCACTCCCATGATGGACTACAATCTCGCATTTAGTTTACTAATTTGTAGGGATGCACCGATACCGAAACAAGCATCGGTATCGGCCGCGATACCGAGTATTTGCATGAGTACTCGTATTGGATGATTGACAGGCTTCCTCACCAGTCAGGAGTGACTGGTGAGGAAGCCTGTCATCATCCAATCGGCCAATCAGCGGGAGAAGAGGTCAGAATGGAGCAGATGGCTGGCGTGTGAGTTATGTCTGACTAGGAGGAGGAAGATAATGGACCCCCTGCAAGCCAGTCATGGGCGCCCCCATCACAGCAGCGCTATGACAGCCGGGAGTCTTTTCGGTTTGGAGAAAGGGCGTCGGAGTCTCAAAGCTATCGGAGGGATGAGGGCAGTTCTGCTCCGGGTCTGCCCCTGCAGATAGGCTCGGCCGGGAGTCGGAGGAGAGACCGGGGACGCAGGCATCCTGGCAAGATCGGTGAGTGACAGTGTGTGTCTGTGTGTAGGAGAGACGGCTGTGTGTGCCCAGCACTGTGCCCTCTGACTATACCCCTCATTATACCCACTGACTATACCCCTCACGGTACCCGCTGACTATACCGAGCACTGTGCCCTCTGACTATACCCCTCACTATACCCGCTGACTATACCGAGCACTGTGCCCTCTGACTATACCCCTCATTATACCCACTGACTATACCCCTCACGGTACCCGCTGACTATACCGAGCACTGTGCCCTCTGACTATACCCCTCATTATACCCACTGACTATACCCCTCACGGTACCCGCTGACTATACCGAGCACTGTGCCCTCTGACTATACCCCTCATTATACCCACTGACTATACCCCTCACGGTACCCGCTGACTATACCGAGCACTGTGCCCTCTGACTATACCCCTCATTATACCCACTGACTATACCCCTCACGGTACCCGCTGACTATACCGAGCACTGTGCCCTCTGACTATACCCCTCATTATACCCACTGACTATACCCCTCACGGTACCCGCTGACTATACCGAGCACTGTGCCCTCTGACTATACCCCTCATTATACCCACTGACTATACCCCTCACGGTACCCGCTGACTATACCGAGCACTGTGCCCTCTGACTATACCCCTCATTATACCCACTGACTATACCCCTCACGGTACCCGCTGACTATACCGAGCACTGTGCCCTCTGACTATACCCCTCATTATACCCACTGACTATACCCCTCACGGTACCCGCTGACTATACCGAGCACTGTGCCCTCTGACTATACCCCTCATTATACCCACTGACTATACCCCTCACGGTACCCGCTGACTATACCGAGCACTGTGCCCTCTGACTATACCCCTCATTATACCCACTGACTATACCCCTCACGGTACCCGCTGACTATACCGAGCACTGTGCCCTCTGACTATACCCCTCATTATACCCACTGACTATACCCCTCACGGTACCCGCTGACTATACCGAGCACTGTGCCCTCTGACTATACCCAGCACTCTACCCTCTGACTGTGCCCTCTGACCAGTGGCGTAACTACAAAGACGGCACGGGAACATGTTCTGGGGTAGGTTGCGGAGGAGGGTGTTTGGGCGGTTTGGGGGGCCCGCTATAAAATTTGGCTATGGGGCCCTGTGAGTTCTAGTTACGCCCCTGGATGAGGGTGAAGGTGGAGGTAAACTGTCTGAACAGGAACCTGGCAGGTACAGCCTGTGGTATAGCTAATTCTATCAATCAGCCTCGCACTCCTCTAATTTTGTGCTTGCACAGACTGAGCAGGAATGTGTATAATGAGGCAACACCCCCCTCTCGTTATTGTACCTTAAAAGATACAGATAAGCTTCTGTCTTTTTTTTTCTTTTTTTTAGAATTCCCTTGCATGCCTTGTAGAGCTTCTTCACTATACATAATTTAGGCAAGCATGGACCAAGGTGCTACAAATGTATTACCCATCACAACTAATCCGATCATTTTCCGGCCTGCCTGGAAATATCACAGCTGCAGTTTAATGGGAAATTCTTATTTCTCGTCAGTTTTATATAGGAGGTTCATAATGCTTATTAAGTTGCAGCTAGTAACCAGACTAGACTTTTGCGCTAAGAATAAAATGTTTGAGAACAAGTATAATCAATTCTATTAAAATATAGGAATGAACTTCCCCTCACTTTATTGCTCGGGTTTTATACTTTTTCTTTATAGTTCAAGGATTGTAATTACTAGTCTAGCTTCAAAGAGCCATTCTGTAAGTTAATTGTGATTCTACACTGAGCAGCTGGTTCACTGCTCTATTTTTAAACTGTTCATGAAGATGAGTTTTCTTTTGGTTATTCATTAACAATTTGGGTCGTTCCCAAATTACTGAGAATGAATTGAGCAGAACACTTTAGATTCTGCAGTGCAGCAAATGTCGCCTTGAATTCATGTTAAGAGATAAAGACAGAAGCATGTTGTACAGTTTGTTCTCTCAGTGTACTAAGAGGTGCTTTTGGAAGGTCTAAGGTGTCGCTCAAATAAACATTAGGTGTGTGTAATGAGATGAATGCTGGCAGTTTGTAGTTTAATGTGATCATTTAAATTGTGCTTTTTGTGCATTTACGGAGAACTTCCCCTGTAAAACATTAACAGGGCAATAACATGGACATACAGTTCTAACCTTCAAGCTGGCTGTTATCATCAGGAACACTTTCTCTGCTGAGCAGAACTGGAGTAATTTGCTCTGCATGTTTTACATTACACAGGGTTACATAGTACGTGACTTTCTCATGGCTAGGGGTCCTGATCTCTGTATTTCTACTAGAAGTGTTGTTCTATTTAACAGACATTCACTTGTTCTGCAGTCACAATCCTGATTCCAACTCAGCCTTTCATTTCACCTCAATGGTGGAAAGCTAGGAAAGGGCCATTGAAATATTCATTCTGGTTACTAAGCAAGATGGATTTCTGGGATTTATTTATGTAAAGTACTATTTGTGTTATTCATCTATGATGATTATACATTTTTTGCTTATAAATTAATGTTTAAATGCTACATCCCATACTAACGTTTAGGAATGAGTCTTTAAAGTGGCCTTGTCACCACAGTGTTACTGGTACTCAGACTGCTCTATAAAAGAAGGGCACATATACAGTACTTACCTTTCCAGCGGTCCATGTCTTCCATCTCTGCTGCATTGCTGTTCTAGGTGTGTCAAATTCCTCAGTTCCTTCCACCATATGTCCTGTAGTGAATCAGGGCTTCAGCAGCTGGGGAGTAGCAAAGCGGCACAATTTAAAGATGGGTCTGCCAAAATAGGTAGACATATATGCCTTTCATTCACAGCATAGACTTTGTTTACAAGTGATCCTATGGTGACAGGAGATGATATTAAACAGTGCCCTGCTGAACTGCATTACACTTCCCCCTTTATCTTATGGAGATTAGGGGTGGGTGTTCCGTAGTCCAGTAGGGTAGACCTCAGGCAGGTCAGACATCACTGTTTGGGATTTCAGTGCGGCAGAGGTAGCGTCACTATAGGAGGTCAGGTGCTCATTATTGTCAGAATCATTGTGCATGTATTGCAGAGATGTAATGCAGTACATTTTTTATTTTGCCCAGACATACACTTTCAAGATGGGTGTATGTAAAGTGATAACCATTTGTAGACTACCTTTGGGGCCCTAATGCCTATACTTCCAGGAATTCTCAACTATGCTGCAGAATGCCACCCCTCACATGACATAGACTTGAAGTTGGAAGAAGTCAGATTTCTGTTGTGTGCCACATTTAGTGGGCTCCCTTCACACACAGGGGATGAAATACTCATTAGGAACCTGCCAGACACCACCTGGCTCCTCCTTATAGGAAATACTGCTGGGAAACGGCATGCATTCTTTCCATCTTGTTTTGATTGATTTGGGGGCTTGACATGACGAGGTCCAACCCCACTGTGAGATGTTTCCAGTGCATACCATGTCATAGTAGATATTACTCCACATTCTATATGACTAAATCTTAATATTGTTTATATCAGATGTTATATCTTGTTGCGCTATTCAAAAGTGTAAGGGGATTTTGCTTACAAGATCATTATGTTACCTTTGGAAAAAGTATGCACTATTTGCTAGTTACACATAGAAATCCTCTTTTTTTTTTTTTCCTGTTGCTAAAATACTCTAGTAACTATTACTGCTACAAGTAAACCTTGCCTAGTCCGCAATAATGACCTACTGCATAATGTTCCACTATTGCCCAAGAGCTAACATGCAATCTCTGTGTGATACCAGAGTGAACTGGCCTGTAGTCGCTGCAGTGCAGAGCTGCGGACCTTTACCGGAATGTACTTTGAAATATGCCTACAGATATTAGAGCATCACAAAGAAATCCAGCCTGGGGTTGTTAATCATTATGCTTGCGTTCAGTGTCCTGCAAGGCTTCATGTTTTGATATTTTTTTTTAGCCAGTCATGAGCTGCATTCATTTATTTGGATCACGGTCCTTTTGTTTCTTGTGCCAAGGTCATTTTAGAGTTGGGTTGTTTAAAAGGCATAGGATTTCCACACAAAACTAGAAGGTGGGAATTTGTATATAGGAAGCCAGTAAAAGAAATAGAATAGAACCTAATATTAAAATTTGTGTGCCCATTTTTGTACGAATGGACACTGCAGCTATAATTGGTCATTGACACTGATGCTTTTATGCTTCTGTTTTCCTAAGACCAGGATGTGACTGAGTAAGGCAGGGGTAGGCAAAATGTGCAGCTGTGGTGAAACTAAAAATCCCATCATGCATCTGCCTGTGGAAGCCATGCTTATGGAGTCTTGCAATGCCTAATGGAATTAGTAGTTGCACCCACAGCTGGAGGGTCGGAGTTTGCCTACGCCTGGTGTATAGGGACGATTCTTCTTCTTCTTTTTTTTTTTTTACATTCATCACCAGATACTTCTGTGAATGGAGATTTTCATTAGTGCATTCACAGTTTGCAAATTGATTAAAGCTGAAGTAAACCACTTTGAATTTTTCTTGTTTTTGCCCTAATGTCCAAGTATGTTTATCTTAAACGTGTGCCCTTCTCCAGCAATGTTGGATCGATCTCAGGCCCCCCTTCCTCCACCGCCACCATCTGTGCTGCTGACACTTCTGGGTTCTTGGAAGTCCTTTTTCGGTAATTGGGTGGGGGAGTAAGAGGAAGAAATTTTCTGGCAGAAGAACTCAGCATTTTCTTATTTTCTCCCCTTTAATTCCGCTTTATTATACTGGGTATTAGTCCAAACAAAATGTTATCTCTGCAAACTTTCAAGAAATTCTTAAATAAGCATACAGTACTCTTTAACAGTTTCAATATGACCTCCTGACCCACAGTTCAGTCACAATCAGATTTTTCTACAATTCATTTTTAAACACGTTCTTTTAGTTTTAACATTTTGCCATTTATTAAATGGACGTCAGACATATTCAAATGAATTTTATGAATGTCCTTTTTAACCCCTTCATGACTGAGCTTGTTTTTGGTTTCTGTTCGTAAATGACTGACACACTTTTGATTCATCCATTATCATTTTTTTTTTAGTGATTAAATAAGTAGTAACTATATAATCTATCAGTGTTGTAGTTGTCTTATGTGCTAGGCATTAATGCTCAGTTAAAACTGCAAATCCTTTGTCAGTCGGTGTGTAATAATCTTAAACAAAGAGGATTCCCTATTTAATGAACTGACAACAGTGCAAATGGACACAGGTTGGCCATGAGCCATGTAACATGCAAAGCCCTGCCATCAGAAATATCAAAATTAGATATAACGGGTTCTTCAAGAAGACCTTGAACATGAATCTCAGAAAACCTCTAAACATGAATCTTTCTGCAAAGATTCAGAAAATGTCATATCTGGGTTCCCTCTCTCATTCAGGAGTAGCCCTCTAAACAGAATTTCTTTAGTTTATGGATGAAGAAGATTCTACCTCCCAGCAGGTTCATGGGAGCACTTGCATGTATGGATCATACACGGTGCTGACGTTCTTGCCTCATTATTAGGGATGGAGGTGTTCTAGAGAGGGAGTTTTGTTTGTGGAGGTGCATAGAACATTACGCAGCAGGATCTGAGATATGGAATCCTTTGTGATTTTGCCTCTTTTGAAGAGGACCTTTACCCATCTCTTTAAATTAACAACAAAGGCACTTTTAGAAATGTTTAGTAATGACAATCTACAAACACATACTTCTAGAGAATTGCCGGCTTTGAATTCTTTGCATACCTTATTTCGCTTTTCTTTCCCAGTCTTCTGACAGTGGCCATGTTAACTAAGTGCAGGTTACTAGCTCTCCCTTTACTTCCTGGAACTCTGGCACATGTGACTAGGACATGTGACCATGCACATCTTCTCAGTGGAGATCTCATGAGATTATAGATGAGATTTCCCAGCAATGCTCTACTGATGTAACCTTCCCAGGATGCAATGTTTTGGCACATTTACATTCTTTGTGCCAGAAGTGGACCAGGAAGTAGATGAACTCTATTTGTAAGTAAAGGAAAAACAAGTTTGTTTAAATAATGACTGTAAGATGATTTTAAATCAGCATGCAGAGTTACCATAACAGTTTATGCTGCTGTTTGTCAGTGTTTACCTTTTAAAGTGAACCTATGCATTGCCCATGCAGGGCAACAGTTTCACTTTAAAGCCTATTCATTGTGATGCAGTGATGTGTGCATTACTGGTGTGAATGAGGCCTTGATGCCACCCCTAATAGCGTCGCGGGTGCGAGGGAAAGGTAGATGGAAGCAGCTGTGGTGGCCAACATTAAAGTGAACTTTGTGTTTTACCTTGCATAGGCAAAGTCCAGGTTCCTTTTAAATTATCTGGTTAACTATGAATGAACTGAGTAAAGGAAACTTAGTGATTTCTAATAGCAACTGGTGAAACATTTGTTTCCAATTTCTACATCAGAAATATGATGGAATTCATATTCTATAGATATCATAACCATTTTAAACGAGAACAGGTCTGCTTAAAAGGTTACTGACCGCTGTACTTGTAACCACTAACCATGACCCACCCGTTAACATCATCATTTGTACTGATTAGATTTCACAGCATGTTGAGTTTTCCCGAACATCCACTGTGGAGGTTCAAAAGCAGTTTGATGACTATAAAGAGAAGAACCGGAAGGAAGGCTCTGAAATGCAACGACAGATTAAAGATAAGTCGCTGGAATTAGAAAGATGCTATCAGACAATCAAGAAGCTGCAAGATGAGGTAATGTGCACTCTTATGAAGGATAAACATAAAATATGAGAATATTCCATGTAATTATGTTGGATTTCTAAACCTATGTAACTTCGTCACATCCTCTCCTTAGATTCGTCACTTGGAAGAAAATTTGCAAGACCACCAGAGCGCCCACGATGAATCACTGACTAAGCATCATCTTCTGCAACAGACAATTAAAGATCTACAGTATGAGCTGGATGCCAAAAACCATTTGAAGGATGATCGTACTAGACAAATAAAGTCAATGGAGGTAGTATTCGTAGACAAACCCGTAGTACTGACATTTGTCATTCCAATTGAAATCAACTGTTACAAACAGAAGTTTCAGGAGCGATTGTTATTTCTCTAGTACAATTTTGGTTATGTGGAGGTAAAAATTTAATGTTGGCTACCTACATTTCCGTCATAAAAAACTGCAGAACTTTTTGTTGCTATTGTTTATGCACTGGTTATTTAGATAGGCAAATAAGCCATAGTTATAGTTACTATCAAGTTAACCTACACAGTGCTAAATTTGGCCTGGCATCAGTGACTTCAGAAGAAAGGGTTAGGCAGATCTTTCATAGCATATCTTAATAGACTGTCATTTAATAGACTACAAGGATCTACTGTGTATTACCTATGCTAGAAAAAAGAAACCGGTTCTGGTAGTAGGCACTAGCTCTGTCAGTCTTTCATTCAAACATTTTATTGCTGGCTTAAGAAAACTATAAAGGCACAAATTCACAATTGTTCCCGTGGCCTCACCTGCAGGTCAGGCGGCCCCCTCTTCTTTCATTTTGAAGGTTTATATTGTATACATTGACATAGCAAATGACAACATAGATCATCGGATCACTCAACAGTCCAGCAGCAAATTTTTTTAATGATCCCGTTCATTCATCTTTGAATCGGTGTGCTAAAACTCCACATACAAAACTGCTTTGTTTTTTTTTTCCAGGACAAGATATTTCAGCTGGAAATAGAGCTTGACGAAGAAAAAAACAACTCTGATCTCCTGCTGGAAAGGATAACCAGATGCAGGGAACAGGTAGGTCTTTATATGCACATAAGTGGATTAGGAGCGGTGCTCCTGACGCTGAACTAGACCAATGCTTTTGTCCCTGTTTTATTGAGTGTCACACAGAGTAACTCTCTGACGTGTCAACCAGGAAGATTCCTCTTATGTATTATGATGATCTGGCTGCAAAGTCATAGAGGTGGGATAAGACACTTTTCCTCAAACATTTTGATAAAAAAAAAATTTTAAAATAATTTTCATTTAAAAGTATTAAGGAAATCCGTAATCTTTCGAGCCCTGATGTACTTTTTTATATCATGCTCTGGAAAACATTGAGAGGTCAAATCTGGGTAATTTCTACTTGCAACACACACATTGTTTTCTCTTCATTTTTATGAATCCGTTCCGCTGGATTTCCAGATACCACAAAGTTATTAGTCGACATAGCAGAAATGTCTCACACAATTGTCTTAGAATAATATCTGCCTTGTTATCCTTCTAGACCTCAATGACATGCCTAATGTTTTATAAGAAAACAAGCATAATTATAAGAGCAGCAAACTCCACTGGTAAAGTATGAGCATGCAGAGCTCAGTACTGTGATATGTGGTTATAGCCCTTCAAAGCAGGGACAGGCAGATTCACCCTCTCTATTTGTCCTGGTGAAAGTTATTGCTGAAGCTGAAAAACCCCCCGAAATTTTGAGTTGTCATCAGAACAGGAATGGATGGGAAATCTTCCAATAGGCACACTAGCTCTGGTCACCCTGCTGACCACCAGGGATTTTCCTCTCTTTGGAGGGCCTTTCTCTCACTTCCTGTTGTGACTCGGAGAGGAAGTGAAGGAAAATCTCTTCAATGGGACACAGATGGCAAAGACAAAAACACCTGACCCTCCATTATTCTATCCACAACTAAAAAAATGTTTTTGGCTTCAGTTCTACTAAAAAAATTACTTCTGGTTGTAAAATATGGTGGCTTTTTACGGGACTATCTTTAAAAACCAAATGGCAGTACACATCAGTATTCCTGGGCTGTATGTGTAGAAAGCATTGGTACTTCTATTACGTAAAAAAAACTAAATAATAAATAGCAAATTAATAAAAAAGGAAATGAATACAAAATCTAAATATTAATGTAAAAAGTATCATTGCTTCTTCTTTAAAGTTTGTATGTAAACACTAACCATGAACTCCTTGTATGTGCTGTTTTGGTCTGAAAGTGTTTTGTTATATCCTTCTACATAAGTGCAAAAAAGAAACCAAACAAAAACCTTTTTATGTCTTGTGCACAGTTCCTGCGTATATAGACACCCACGTTTTGTGATGTAAGTATTAGGAATTAATAAACAATGTTATAAGGCAAGTTAAAAGTGCTACATGACACTTTCTATAAGGGCTCATTCAGACTGTCATGCATGTCCGTATGGCATGCACGCCCTTAAAAAGACTTCAAATGAACAGGTTCTGCATGTAACTGCGTACAGCAGCCTGTTCTTTCCCATAGGAGGATGTGGCTTCACACAATTAAATCCTGTCACATGCACACCTGAACTTGCATATCCGTGCGCATGCAGGCACCTGGACCTGCACGTGTGACCGTGTGTAATTGCATGCAGCCACGTCTCTCACACACCGGCTCTGGAGCTGAGAGCTCATGTAACCTCTGATCACTTAACTCACAGTCTTCTCCCTGCAGAGAGCAGTGACTGTCAGTCAGCTCCCCCTCCCACAAGGATTCCCTGCAGCACTCATTGGAGGGATCTTTCCCAGCTGCAGTGCAGCTCTGCACTGTCAGCATATAGCAGGCAGTAGCCCGCTATATGCTGAGTTAGGGTCTTAGGAGAAAAGTAAAGTAAACAAGTAAACTCCTGTGACCCAAAAAAGAAGTAAAGTAAAAAAAGGGTTTGACTTTACTCTGTTTAATGGGATGCATGTCCAGCGCACACCAGAAATACCAATGTCAAACTCTACAGTCTATTTCGGCCTCCAGTGCCGTGATTTATTTTTCACTTGCTGGTGGTTAGTGACTTGTATAAAGAGGGACAGGTATTAATGTGATATAGATGATGGTGATGTCCTTTGTGCTGCTGCACCAGCTTCAGCATTGTAACCATATTTTAGACAAGGGTCCCGAATCATAATATATAATATATAATGGTTTATTTAATCCTAAATGGCTTTTAATGTTCTTCGTCTGAAGAAATACTGCACACCGCTAGTTTACCATACATGCAGTTTATTCCACCCAACAGCCAGCATGGGATGGTCCCTGCCTAGTAATCAATCAACTCTAATGCCTTTCACCCTTACAGGCTTAGTTGTAGAGATCTCTACCACCAAAGCCCATGACATCCGAGTAAGCCGTTACAAGATGGGGACCATCCCATGCTGCCTGTTGAATGGGCATAGACTACACCAGGCATGAACAACCTTGGCACTCCAGCTCTTGCGGAACTGCGAGACCCATGAGTCATTTCAAGACTATGACATTAACATGCATGACCCCCCAGAGGCATAGGTGTGATTGGGATTCCTGGTTTCACCACAGCTGGATTGCTGAGGTTGCCTACCCTAAATGCATGGTGAACTAGCAGTGTGTACGATTTCTTTGGACGGTATAGTTACGGAGCATGGACAGCTCCCAGCCAGCACCTGCAGTGTATGCAGGCGACGGAGCTGGATGTGGGATAGAGTGGTGAGGTTTCTCTGTGTTCTTACATTTTAATGCTAATTGTTATATATCATAGCTTATTTAATCGTTGCATGGATTTTAATGCTTGGCATTGGGGGAATTTATCAAAACTGGAGCAGAGGTAATCTGGAGCAGTTGCCTATGGCAACCAATCAGCTTCTATCTTCAGTTTAGCTTTGAAAATGAAAGACAGAAGCTGATTAGTTGCCATGGGCAACTGCTCCAATTTTGATCAATTCCCCTCATTGTTAGAGTAGAGCTGGGCAACTCCGGCCTTCCAGCTGTTGTGGAACTATAAGTCCCATGAAGCTTTGCAACAAGTTACAGGCATGCCTTCCAGAGGTCGAGCCATGTTGGGATTTGCAGTTAAAGCACAGCCAGAGGGCCGGAGTTGCCCACACCTGCACTAGAGCATTGCAGGATTTCAAGGGTGAAAAAAAAAAAGTTTATTGTCTTAATGATCAGACTTGCCCGTCCTACTGCAGAGAACATCTTTTGAATTAAGTTGTAGAATGGGGCTGCAGGGACCCCGGTAACAGGAAAGGAGTTAATTGTCAAAAGTCTAGCTATGTGGGGGGAGAGAAATATAAACGAGAACCTTCTGGCTGTGGATTTCTTTCCTAAAACCGTGGGAGAGCGGGTGGTTTCTATGGTGACAGTGTAAATATGGCAGGCTAGAATTACAGTGGCTTTGCTACCTCATCTGAGCCGCGTTCCCGGTTGGATTCTCAGCACCTGTTCTACTCAGTACACCAGGTGTAGAAGTAAATCACAATGTAGAAATGAAGGCCCTTTTCCAGGGAATGAAGCATGGAACATGCAGGCCTCTTCCCTGCACTACAGTCAACTGTCTGGAGAAATGGAATATGTACCTCATTAGCGGAATCCCACCTCCTCTCCCCCTCTGTGTGGGCTTACATGAAACACTCGATTTATGAGAAGTACGATTACAGACATGAAGGGACGGTTCCAGGCTTCCCGATATCAATAATTGAGAAGAAATGAAATTGTGTGCTTTCATTAACAAGACGATGATAACCAGCTGTTCTTAATACCACGGTCTCGCATAAACACGGCCTCCGTTTATTAAATCCATGCCATCTCTCAGAGGGGTACTGTGGCTCATTGAAAATGCTTTGTTTTCAGTGCTCACCAAACCCAGCTGTGATAACTTCTGCTGAAATCTCCAATGTTTGTTGTTCCTCCGAGGATGAAAATAACGTGTTAAGAACGATCGCAGCCGCTGCCAGAGGGACCTGCTACGCGGCAAGCACCAATTAACGCAGGAATTAAGATTCCCTTCTCTACCGAAAATAAAATTATTTGAAGCAGTTGTTCTTGCGGTTGGAACAGAAGACTTTTCTTTATAAGTTCCTGCTTAATTACTTTCATTTTGCAGAGTTCAAAACTTTTTAGTTGCTTGTGTTTTTTTGAAACAGCGTAGCTAGTGTGTCGTGTTGCTCGTGTGAAATAATCCAAAATGTATATTATAATACTGTGTTATAATATATATTGTACTGATATATTCATTTATTTGTATATAGAGCATTTTCTTTGCAGAGAAGACTTAAAGCTGAACTCCAGGCAACTGGCTAAATACACAGCGGAAATACATACACTCACCGGCCACTTTATTAGGTACACTTTGCTAGTACTGGGTTGGGCCCCCTTTTGTCTTCAGAACTACCTTAATTCTTTGTGGCATAGATTCAACAAGGTGATGGAACACTCCTGAGAGATTTTGGTCCATATTGACATAAGAGCATCATGGGCCCAAAGTGTGTCAAGAAAATATCCCCCACACCATTACACCACCAGCCCCCATCCATGCTTTCATGTTGTTTACACCAAATTCTTACCCTACCATCTGAATGTTGCAGTTGAAATCGAGACTCATCAGACCAGAAGTTTTTCCAATCTTCTACAGTATTGTACAATTTTGGTGAGCCTGTGTGAATTGTAGCCTCCGTTCTTAACTGACAGGAGAGGTACCAGATGTGGTCTTCTGCTGCTGTAGCCCATCTGCTTCAAGGTTTTGTGGATTCAGAGATGGTATTCTGCATAACTCGGCATTTTCGTCCACACAACTGCCGCTCACTGGATATTTTCAGCAGTTTTTGAAATACTCAGACCAGCCTGTCTGACATCAACAGCCATGCCACTTTAAAGTCACTTAAATCACATTTCTTCCCTGTTAAGATGCTCTGTTTGAACTTCAGCAAGTCGTCTTCACCACGTCCAGATACCTAAATACCTTGAGTTGTTGCCATGTGATTGGCTGATTAGCAATTTGTGTTACCAAGCAATTGAACAGGTGTACCTAATAAAGTGGCCGGT